AAGTTATTTTACAACATGTACGCTGTATAGTTCTACGATACCGTGTGAATTATATATACGAAGAGGATGTAAGATAAAATTATTTTAAAATCGTGTATCGCGTATGTTGGGATAATGCAGAAAAACTTGTTTTTAAAGAAAAAAATTGAGGGAGTATAAAGGACTACGAAATAAGACTCAAGGCAACATTGAGAAATTTCATTGAATACTGTTCAAAAACACAGAGTATGTTGTAAAGAATACAGTCACTCTTGTACAAATGTTACACATGTAAGAATAAGCCATTCTAAAACATATTGTATTATCAATGAATATAAAGCCCATACAAATATAAAGGAAATATTCACAAGCCAATTTATGTTTAATATGTATTAAAAATATATAATTACCTATCTATATATATTTATATATATGTATGTATAAGTATAGTATATATATTATATTTGAGACAATAGTAAACATCTTTAACTGCATTATAGTATTAGTTCTTCTTCGGTTGATAGGCAACTTCAGACGCATTTTAACGCGAATCCATATATTGAGAAGTTAAAAAATTTGAATGTTATAAACATCATAAAACAATTAACAAAAACTTTATTAAACGCTTTACAGGGGCAGCTATTACTCGTAGGATCGACAATAAGGGCGTTTCATCAGAAAAGCCCTATTTCTTTTTTAATATTTACTTGTTTCCAAACTGGAAGCTCTTGAAATTGTTCTTTACTCATTCCTAGTAGCTCCTGCAAAAACAGATACGGTATGATTTGTGAGTATTATAAAATTAACATACTCAATTCCTTTTTTCATTGAAAAAATAATTTATGAAACTAACTTCAAAGTGTTGTTGAGATAAATACAATTCCAAATGTGTAGGATCCACTCCTTCCGGTAAAGGTCGTTGTAATAATTGAGCAGGGGGATACGTGCTTTTCGTTAATCGCGCCAACTCGCTCTCCACGGACAATACTTCTCCAGGATTACGACCGTCCTAACAACGAATTATTCGTTTCAGTTGTAAAATTTTAAATATGCCCGGCACTCGTAGATTTACCTCTATATTTATTTCTGCAATATCGTCCCGGTATTTCCATGTCGGGAATAAATTGATAAATTGCAATGGTTCGAGACCAGCCCAGACTAGATAAATTGGAAACTTCGTAGTTTCCGGATGCAAGCTCTGCCAATATTGCATAGCTGTCGTCATGGCTGCTCTTCTTTCAGCCTGCCATCTGACCGCTTTGCTTCCAGATTGATCCTCCGCTCCAGTATCAGGCCACCAACCTTGCCATATCCACAGTTCGTTTTTGTTATCCAGCAAAAACAAAGCTGCAATAATAGTAATTACACAATGTTTGCCGATATTAACGTTTTAAAATTGTTGATTACCTGGCTGATTTACTTGGTACAAGTCTTCTTGTAGAAAAGGGAATGGAGTCGATAAAGAAGCACGATGAGGACACAGTATTTCCACAGGCTTAAATTCTTTAGAAATGCTTGATAAATGGAACAGTCTTGGAGTATGTTCCTGCGATTGGTCTTTTTCTAATGATACGTACAATGACTTATTCATCCCTCCCAACGCTATAAATAAAATATCTTATAATATTTGAAATACTTGGAAGAGTGTATTATTTATTATTTTCTACTTACCATTAAAGAATTCTTCCGGTTCAGTTCCTTCATTAATCTCCACGATTTCTATGTCACCATCGGAGGACAAACGAGTTTCCTGCGGTCTATTCTCTTGTAATTTTTTAGCCGCATTATTTGCACCCTGAAAACATTTTTTCATTGAATAAATAAGAATTAAAGTTCTCTTAAGTAACGTTTCTTAACGTCTGGTTAATCAAATACCTTTTTAATATGAGGTAACGCATTAGATCCATGCCACACATAAATCTTGTTGTTTTCAGAGTCTAGTAATAGAAGAGAACCTCTGCTCCTTAATTGACGAGTGCTACAAGGAATCTCCGTTAAAGACACCTCTGACTCTAGAGTACCTCGACATATATACAATCGCCACCGTTCGTCCTGTTTTTTATCATTTTTCTTGCCACAGTGTACTATCATTCCACCAGAGAATAAGTTTAGAAATGCGGCTGGCTCGTGTCCTTGGACTACACGAATCTACAAGGAACGTGAATGAATTTCTTTTTACCGTATATTCGATTAACACGTGTTCCTCGGATTTGATCAATAATTACCTGAGGTGCTTGATCGTTATCTAATTGGATAGTTAGTAACGCTGCTGCACCTTGTTCGTTTAAAGACGCGCTCTGCCCTTGCCAAATGAAATAAACCGAACGGTCACGGCCTTTTGAAGAGTGCTTTGAAGGCATACCGCTTAGTTCGCGACCTATCGAGAAGAAAGGTAAAATGCATTACTTAAAAATTAATTGCAACTTCACGTATATACACACAATATTCACCAGTAATGGTAACCGAATACATCCAATGTACAATATAGCTATCTCCAGAGTAAAATTGTCCAATGGATGTATCATCCAAAAGAGTATGAGAGAATTCATCGATGTGCCATACTTCTACACTCGTTGTCATAACAACGTATTGTTTCATCATCTACAAAATAAATTCAGATTAAATCACCCAGTCTACACATTTATTGTCTGTTACACATTAACCAAAATATTTGAATGTATATAATTACCTCATCATCGTACCAACCAGTACCTCTACCCAAATGGCTTCCTTCAAGAACCAAATCAACAGGACTAGTATTTTCCTCTAATAAATTATTAATATTGCACGGTTCTATAACTATTGTTCCATCGACCTGTTCTTTGCTCGTTTCACCGCGAACTCGTATAATCCCAGAAGCGTTCGGCCAATCGAGGAACTTTTCCCTAAAAAGTATCGTTTCTACGTGTTGCGTCAATTTAGCGAACAAGCACCATTTAGGTCTGACTTTGGCAGATTTAGAATCCATTTGAGATACGGTACGCCTTCCGAGCATGGACGCCGCATTAATTGGGCACACAGCACATTCCGAGTAATCATATCCTTCTTTCCACATTTCTGTAGCGAGATTCGTTGCAATCTTCTTCTTATCGACAGATGCTCCCTTCCCACTCCATATGTACATTTCACTGCCAAAATCGAACACTAGAACCTTAAGAAACAAATACGATCATTTATAATTCAAAGAATATATACGATAATAAAACGAGATTTCAATTGTTGAGCAAACCTTATTTGGATCGAGCATTTCAATTTTTGGTATAGCACCCCAATATTTATCAAGAGGCACCAATTCTTCACCCTTCATTTCATATATCATATTTGTATGTATCATAGTTGTCTCATAGAGTTCATCTTCATCGGGATGACCAGCATCGATAACTGCAATTAGTGAAAATAAATTGATTATTACTGTATCGTAATTAGATTTATCAAGATTGAAAGATATCTCACCATCTATATTTTCACTTTCAACGCCAAGATAATTCCAGAATTTTTGCAATTGACTTCTTGTGCACGTTACTTTATCTTCGTTAATAGTAATAACTTGAGTTGCTTGAGTACCAAGATCTTTGTTTTGCTGAATGGTCATCGCAATTTTCGCGCCACGAACTTTCTCAATAACGTTACAGTATTTTCCAACATAGTTATATACCTAACAAAAGATAAATTAGTAGCAATATTCTTGTTTTTCAACATTAACAAAGTATATTCTCCTTACCTCTGTTTTTGTCACTAATACAAAATTGTCGCCGCTATTAATATTCTCTGCGACTGGGGCAATTAGTTTCACTTGTACGTGACGTCTTCCTTTAATTAAGATCAACATTAAATCTTTATACGGTTGCAGTTTATTTAGCGAGACATTCGATTCTGCTACGTTTCTCAGTGTTACGTTGCTAAAATCTTCAGTGGAAGCCAGACCAGCTAAAGCTTCCATAGCTAAAGATGAATTTTTAGCCACTGCAACAGAATGTAATTCAAAACTACTGTACTTGACACTGCAACATAATAAAAAAGAAATATGGTATACTTAATTACAAAAGCTTACATTTTTCAACGTTCAACTGTTTCATTACTTTCTCCGCGATACCAGTTCGTACTTCGGTATACTCTGATCTTAAATCGGTACGAGCAGCTAACGCTTGAAGTGGATTTCTAGATATAATGCGTCGCCTATGTAATCGTATGTTACGCCTCTGAACTAACCTGAAAAATTGTGAGCCTATGAAAACCATAGTTTAAAATATTAACTACTATAACTAAAACAAGATGGAAAATTTACAATTCCGATTGCGACGTGATTATATCAAAATCATTCTCATTTAAATCGACAGATTCAGCTTCACACTTCTCCAAAGAAATTCCAGTAAAAAACGAGGTGAATGTTTCATCATCTATCTTGGGTATTGATACAGTCGGCGATAAAGTTTTCTCTGTCTTACTTTCTTCTCCTGCAACATACACCAATTAGATGAAATCCATTATTAAAGAAATTAGTGGTAACGCCAGTAAAAAATATTCACTAACCACTATCATCACTTGTAGGTTCAGAGAAGCTTATACGTAATTTACTGTACGAATCTTTGCTAGGACTAGTTGGCGTGGACACAGCATCTTTCATATATCCTGAAAATATAACGTGTCTTAATATGTTGTTTGTACCTAATTTTCAGACACTCTTTAACGAATAAAAATATTCGTGAATGTATTGAAATTATCATTCAAAAATATTACCCCTTTTAGCTCTGAATCGTTCGGGACGTGGTGTTTTCTTCTTTCTGTCTGCAATGCTTCCAGTAACTTCGACGAGTGGCGAACTCGGTCCCGTTTCTAGCTTCTCCGGTAATTCTACCTTCATTCTACCAGCTACCGTAAACTTCATTGCATCCGACACAGCCACTCTCTTCTTCCATCCCTCTGTGGCAGACTCTAACTTCCCAAGGCAATCAGCGAGTACTCCTTGTTTGATGCTCAGTTCTTCTTTAGCCGGTGAACTAGTAGATACCCCATCCTAATGGATTATTTTGAATGGTAATTAATATTTGAAAAACAATCAAGACGCAGCTTACGCGAATGAAAATACCCACCGTCGAATTGACTGATTCTGACGCTATGCGTCGTTTCCAATTCGTATTACCGCTACGCTGAAGTGCCGCTAATCGATCAGCGATACTCATGCTGGGGCCATCATTAGTATCCACCAATGGTATCGCCTGAGTCGCGCTACGATACAATCCTGGAAGAGCTATACCGTGTTGTTTCTGTACTGCTCCGCTAGATAATTCGGTTTCATGCCTTCTGTTGCTAATCGAGTGATGACTAGCACTCTTCAACAAAGAGGCGTACCTACAAGTTCTTAATTACAATATACACGAATATCTCCACTCACACTATTTTACATAATGTAATCTTATCAGCACTTATAGGAATGATTGAAAAAGTTTGACGTCATTTAAAATTCACACTTGATATTATACTCTACACAGAAAAATACGGCGGACGGTTCAGTGTATTGACAAATGATGTCTCACCTGGTTTGCTTTGAAAAACTAGACTGACGATGTACACCTTCATTCTTTATGTTGCACAACAAATCCTCGCTCGACGGCACCTCGTTATCTGCTGTTTGCAGTGTTTCTTCATCCTTTTCGGTTGCAGTGATTTCAGTTTGAACATTGTTTATATCATCTAACGCAGATTTAATTCTTATTTTACTTAATTCATGTTGCGTATCGCTTCTATGGAAAAGCACGTGTATCTGTTTAAGTTTAGATTGCCTACCTTCCATACTGTAGCCACTGCTCCAATTATACTGTGCAGAGTAATCAGTTTCTGTTTCTCCCGCCTATACAAGATATTTTGTCAAATGTAATATTCTTGGATTCATTGATATTATCATCAGTGTCTGTGCTATAACTCACCATTCGTTCTTCCACTTTAGATTTTAGAGTAAGGTTCGAGGAATCAGAATTCTCAAGCGTCTGTTGTCCTTGCTCTTCCGCCTCTTTCTTAAGTACAGATTTGATTAACTTTAAACCTTCGAGTTCAGGACTCTTCGTTCTAGACGTATTTTGTGAAAAGGACGGTAATGATTTTAAAGTACTTTTTGGTAGGTCAACCTGAGAAAGATGCATCTGCTCTCGAAGTTCTGAGGATGAAGCTATAATAATAATCATTTATATTATTATCTTTGTAGCGATATCGGTATTCGAATACAAATGTACTCACTATTATCTGAGGAATATTGGTGAATGACATTTAACGGAGATATCCTGGATGCTACTTCAACCTCTTCGGATGTAACTGGCTGTGTTTTGTAACGGGTGGCAGGTCGTTTCCGTAAGTGCCTTTCCACTGACATTTTGTTGGACACTACACTTTTTTCAGTATCGATCTTCTGATTAAAGAGACGCACTCGTTCCGCCAGGCTTAATTTGGATGGATCGTATTCGTCATCGGTTAAATTAACTTCTGTCGAACTTGATTTCCCATTCGATGTTGCGTTACGTTGATTTTGTAAAACCGCCTCCTGTACTTCTTGGAAAGTTACCGGCTGCGTGCTGAACCTATCGTTTCCTTGAAGTTTACGGTCTCTATATCGTTGTATCCCGCGTGAACCTTTGCTCGGTGTTTTCTGAGATAAATTCTCTTTCTCCTTAGAATTAGCTTTCTCTTGCAATGCTTTGAAATGCAGCGCCATTTTAGAAACACTATTGCTGCGGTGTACACTGTTATTTTCTTGAAAATCTGTATCATCTTGTTTCCTTTGCGAGGTCAATACTTCGTTATTTGTATATTCCTTGTTGTCAGTCATTTTATCAGAGAGCAAAGTACTTTCGTCGATACTATTATTTACAGAAAGTCCATGAACAATTACTTGATCTTTTTCTTCGATTCCAAGTACTGGCCCAGACTCTTTCTCTTTCTCTGCAGACCTTTCTTTCGTTACACTATAATTATATACAACATTAATATATTACAATGTTTGTTTAAAGCTTTAAATAATATCATCATTGCAGCTTATACGATGCACTGTAAAATTTAACAGGAATGTATTATCAATGTTAGTTCCACGATGCAAGAACTTGTGCTTCCTAATCTAAATATATGCACACAAGAATATTTAATAAGACTTGGTTTCAGGGACTTAAGCATTTTTTACTTCAGTAGCTATAGTGTCATAAATGTTGAAACAGTTAACATGACAACTTAGAATTATATATGAATATATACTCCCAAAATTTCTCAAATTGTTGACACATACATTGAATGAAATGTATAGAGGAAATGAGCACATGTTTCACTTAATAAAACGCAGAACTGACTTTTATAAGTAAAAAAAAAATACAAAAACACTACCTCGAGCTTGAATTAACTTTTAAACAGACATACAGGTTGTGTGTATGCTCCGATTCTCTGTTTTCTGGTAGCTTTCAGAATTGCTAGGTGTCTATAATTAAACTTGGCACAGATTCAAAGTCTTACCAAAGTTACATATTACTATATCGAGTAAATGTGTAAACAAATATCAATTTAGAATATTACAACTAGGTAATGCTGATATTTAACTATGAATTCATTAAATGAATATTACTATAAGAAAAAAAATATATATACATAATAGCAAAAATATCTATATACATTTTATATAATTTAAGATTTATCTAGTATTTGTGAAATGTAATTTAATAAAATATTTAAAGTACTACGAAAAATAATGTTACTTGAAACCTTCATGAAAATTTTCAGTTTAGAAAAAATTAAGAATTTAATATTTTTTACACTTGTATATATTATCTTGTAACAAATATATATATACACATATATGAGACATACTTTTGAAGAAAATATATTTATAAAACTTGCATTACATACCTGCTTAACGTGTCAGAAAAAATAGCAGACACATTGGCACTCTCACCACCCAGGGAAAGGTCTGGCTTTAAATAGTTACTATTGGTCGTTAATCTTGTTTGTAACTTATCTTGTAACACATCACTCATAGACGTTAATTCTAGAGATCTTCGTTTGTTAAGTACACCAGTGAATTCATTAAGAATACTTGAAGGTTGTACATGGCCCACAGATTGTGCCCTTTTTCGTAAAAATAAATCTGTTGGTTCAGTACACGCTTCGTTAGAAGCTACTGTTTCATCGTGTAAGTTCAAACGGACTCGTGATTCGTTGTCTTTACTACCCGATTGTTTTAATATAGATCGCACAGAATCATTTTCTATCACTCCGGATGTTTTACCTTGAATAGAACGATTTCTGAGCATAGACAATTTCTTCGGCGACGTTAATTCCGTTTCGTAAGTGCATTCTTCTTGCGAATTCTTACGCGTGCATTTCAAAATAGTCTTTTTTGGTTTATCATCGTGTTCATCCGATTCTGTGCTCGACTTTTTCTTCAATATTGGACGTGGTTCTAAAGACGGTGGATCGCTACCGAATGATTCCTCTCTGCTGTGCTTTTTCTTTAGTATCGGCCTTACTTCAGAGCTATCAAGTATTTCAGGACCAGTCACACTTGTTGCATCCATTGTAATAGTCACGTGATGATTAACATTACTTGTACGTAGGCTATTTGTAGATTTTCTTTTGAGGATACCCTGTGGCTCTGAAGAACCAACTTGGCGTTCTTCTCTATCATCTTCTCTAGACGATTTTCTTTTCAATATAGAAGTAGGCTGAGGGTCCGGGCTCTGGTCTCTTTTAACGATTTCATCCAGGGATGATCGCCTCTGATTTTTCAATATTGGCCTAAATTCAGAATACGGATTATCAGTAAAGGAAATATCTGGAGAACAGCTACGGCGTCGAAGAATTTCACTTTCATCCAAGCTGCTGCGCTTTTTTAAAATACCGTGTCTCTTATGGGTGGTATGCTCTACCACAGAAGGTGAAAACGTTACTGGTAACACTGTATGAGTAAGATTCGACAAATTTTGAACCCCTTCGCTGTCAGACATCTTATGTTTCAGAATTGAAACCGGCGTGTGCGGCTGATTTAAGGATCCATCTTGAAAATGTTCATCATTCGATTTCTTTAAAATAGAACATTTTCTTGGCGATGATTGTGAGACATGCGCATTATTCATATTACTTTCTTTATTACTAGTAGAGTTTCCTTGAGATAACGTGCTAGACGAATGATTTTCCAATTGTGGTCCATAATTTGAAGACAAATTTGCTTGCGACGTAAGTCTTTCTACGCGTTCTATCGCGGACTTCGTTAATGCTGTTAACGCATCAACTCTTCGTGAAACTTCTGAATCACTATGGCCACCACTACTGTAAAATTTAAGTCAATTATTGATTTCTATTTTAGCAACAACAAAATAAAAGACTACGGAAGATGAAGAACTAACAACATTGGAAGACGAAGAAATAAAATTACCTAGTTCGTTGTATGTTTGAATATTTAGTGCTTGCCAGAGGATTAACGGAAGGCGTTGTAGAAGTTTTCGGATGATTTGTAGCATATTGAGTACTAGCTTTCGGATAAGTCGTTTTTGACTCAGCTGATTTTTTACTTAAATTAGTTGTTAGCTGACGTTGATTAGTAGAATTTGAAGTAGATATTGTATTGGATATGTAACTTTGCTTAGTTGATTGTCTTCTGGTTCGTCTATCATTACATTCAGCTAAAAATAATTACAGGTCTTAATTATTTAGTAAATAATGAATTTAAGAATGGTACAATGGTTAAATTACTTACATTGAGTTTTTCTTGTAGGATTTATAGCACTACTGTTACCTAATATTGAATTTTCCTATATATATTATTAAACATTAGTTAATAGTTTATGCTAATTCATACACTATATAATCATACACTGCAGTTAAATACTTACATCCTTCATCGATGAACTAGTCCTGGGTTGGAGACCTAAAGAAGCAGATGTTTCTGACATACCTAATCTTCTTGAAACCAATGTTCCACCTACGTATATATATAAATATTATAATCAACAAAGTATTACATTAAATTCTAGGTTCATTGGTTGCAACCATAAATTACAACCTACCATTAGGAGATATAATTGAGGCAGCCCTTAATCTGGAAGCTTTAGTTTCACGAATTGGCGTTGTCTTATGCAATGACAGAATCTTACCACTCTCTTTATTCTCTGATCTTGAAATTAAACGACTGTTTTTTTCCAACATGGAGGTACGAGTCTTATTCTCTGTTATAAAGGCATTCAGAAATATTTGTATCAAATTGAAGTACGTTGCATATACTCTAAAAATCTATATATTGTTTAGCAATTGTTTTGTTCAGATAAATTAATGTTATAAAGACATTCATATAAGTATACATATAAAATGTTTATAGATAATTCAAAATAGGACACTTACTATTCATAGCAGAAGATGTCATACTCTTTTTAACAAGACACTCTGCGTTCTGTTGTTTAGTTTGCATTTCATTGCGAGAGCAAACATTTTGATTCTCATAGCGAGTGAAATTATTTTCTGTTCCATTCGAAGAACTTTCTCCACTGGCTGCCATTAAAACTGTAGCTCCAACGGCTACCATTCCTAAAAGTAAATACGTTTCATAGCTGACACTTTCTTATGTGATCCTTCAATATCATCTAATTATACATACACAGGCATATTTAATTTTCTCGAAGCCCAAAAGTAAGGGTCATATAGGAGTGAGGTGTGAAACAAAAATTTTAACTTGATTTCTTTGACAACCAAAACTTATATGACGTCTCAATAAATAAACAATTATGGTGAACGTTTTAAAAGTAATCCATTTATTCCTCAAGAATTCAGAACATATGCGTGCACGATACAGAATCTAAAAATAGTCTTAACAAAAGTTCTCATCTATCTAAAAAATGAAATTCAACCGTACATATTGTTACAAAAAACATCATAACATCGTACATTACGACAGAAAGTAACAACTGTCGTTATTATCAATTTTCCTAATAATGCTCAGATGTTTACAATACAAATTATTTTACAATATAAATTATTACAAAGGCACTCCTCCAACTTACTGAATTAATAAAACGTTTGTTTCATCGCAGCCATATCACGATTCAAAACAAATCTACAAATAATCAAGAACACAGCCAGTGACGCAGATGACTTATGTCGTTATCACAGCTATTCAATAAGTACTACTTATAAAATACATATAAAAAGCACCCGAATAAGTTGGGTGAATGTATAAAATTGCGTGTCATTCGAATACTGTTACGAGCAAGAGATTACAATAGAAAGAAAAATTTTCTTTCAATACAGATTGCACAGGTATTAGTCATTACAATTTCTCTCATTACGAAGAAGAACGGATAGACCAAAGATAGGTGACACGCGGAACCAGATGGCGTTCTTCAAATCAAATTAACATCATATCGACAACCAGATAATTGTTCATTTCATTTCGACAATCGAAAAATTAATATCCGAAATGAGCTCTCTCTTAAACTGTGATATTCAATGACCTATACTATATTCTCATACTCCATTAAATGTACAACAGTAATGCGGAAGAAAGTATATTAATTAATATCCTTTTCAATAGTTGTAGACTATACCTTAAATTTCGTTCTATCAAAATTACGTACAAACAATTGCTTAATAAATTCTTTACGCATAAGAATTTAAAAAAGAAAAATCATATTTCGTTATCTACAAAAAAGGACACTTAAGCTGCTATCATAGACCAAAGAATAATTATGGGATAAATGGTTCATCATCACTTTTATTTTACAAATTACGTTTTAATTATTTATATTTATCAAAAAAAGTCAGTAAATGGTATATTGAGATTTAAATTCTTAAATAAAGTTCTATATTTAAATAATGGATAAAGTGATTTTACAGCCTAAACGCCATGAAACATTGCAATATAGATAGTAATATTATTTCCCGCTATGTGACTCTCAGGAGATATGGAGAGAACACAATTTCATGTTATGTTGAGCGATCTATTTTGTACATATAATTATGGCGTTTTCATGTAAACAGGCTTTGAAAGATTTTGGCGGTACACCATCAGCGTACATGTCCTGTTACTTGCATGTGTGTAATGCTTTCGTGAAAATATGGGAAAACGTGTTCATTTGTAATTATCTCTAATATTACAAATACATTCCTATTAGAATTGTTACTGCTTAGATGTAAGGAGTTCGTATCTCGGGTGGAACGATAGATTATTCTTAGAGGATTCAGTAAATATATTAGAGTTTATTCAACATGATATCGGCTATCACTGGAAACACAGAGAGCTACGAGACAGAAAAACAAACACAGATTGAAGATACGGAAAGGCGTCGAATACCCTTAAATGAGCATGTTAATAAGGAGAATAAGAATACAGGTATATATCTTACATATTATTTAAAAATAATTGTAAAAATCACCATTTTTAATATATATAAATTGATTTTTCACCAGTGAACGAAGCTATAATGCTTCCAGAATCAAATAAAGATAGAAAGAAACTTCGCAGTGGAAAGTATATAAACGCAGATGTTACAAGTTTGCATAGAGTTAATGGAAATGCCACTAAAACTGGATCGCCTAAACAGAAGAATCAATTTAAAAAACCTATTAAAAGAAAAAGCAATGCAACTGAAGAATCGGAAGCCAAGGCTCCGATGCTGGAGCAAAAGGATGAAATATTAGAAAATCGTGTTAAGTTTGAAAATGAACAAAATCATGAACAGATAGAGACGAGCGATGATTTTGAAAGCAATACTCTTAAGAAAACTAAAACAGAGGAATACAACGTAAACGTAGATGAATCAAAACCCCCCATACATCAAAAACCTATTAATGTTCATCAAAAGTGTGAATATTGTTGTCAAAAAATAAACAATCCTGATTTAAAGATATATCCAGGACATCCTAACGGGGCAGTGGAAGAACTTATCGCATTAACAGATCCTAAGTTATCTTTATTCACAGGAGAGGAAGCTACAGTTTATGAGGGTGATGAAAGACCACAAAATAAGTTAACAGACTTTTGGTAAGTGACTTTATATCATTTAATGAATAACAAGCATAAATTCTTTACTGCTAATAAAATTACATTACATGTTAAAAATATGTTAATTTACCTTTTTATTTGCAGTGTGTATGATAAAAATGGACATTTGTGTGCTTTTGATACTGGTCTGGTTGAAAAGAATGTAATACTTTATTTTTCTGGTTATATGAAACCTATTTACGAAGAAAATGCATGTCCAGAAGGAGGTGTGCCTACTAAAGATATGGGACCAATAAATGAATGGTGGGTGTCGGGTTTTGATGGCGGTGAACTAGCTCTTGTAGGATTTACCACTGCATTTGCGGAATACATATTGATGGAACCTGCAGAAGCATATGTACCATTCATGGATTCAGTAAAAGAAAAGATTTATATGAGCAAAATAGTTATAGAATTCTTATTGGATGAGATTAATCCTACGTACGAAGATTTATTGAATAAGTTACAGGTAAGTTCCATGAGAGGTGAAATATCAGGAATATTTAAAATTGAATATTTTAAAAAATTTAAAATTTTTTCAGACTATAGTTCCACCGAAGGGACTATCTAGATTTACGGAAGATTCTTTGTTAAGATATGCTCAGTTTATCTGTGATCAAGTAATTTCCTTCGACGCATCAGCAAGACCTGAAGATCCTTTATTAATTACAAGTCCATGTATGCGAGCATTAGTAACACTTGCAGGTGTAACATTAAATAAACGAATCGCATTACGTAGGATGCAGCCAAGAGATCAAAAAAATAAAAGAATTGGTTGGACGAAAGCTACAACGACAAAATTAGTTAAAAATATGTTTGAGACCTTTTTTTCTGACCAATTGGCTACAAACAATGAAAAAGATGTATCTGTGAGTATCAGACATTCTTTTATAATAAATGAAATAAACACACTAAATATAAAGTTTTGTTAAATAGGGTCCTAAGAGACATAGGTGTGGTGTTTGTGAAACTTGCCAACAACCAGATTGTGGGGTGTGTTCTGCCTGCAAAGACATGATCAAGTTTGGTGGATCTGGGAAGAGCAAACAAGCTTGTAATAGAAGAAGGTGTCCAAACATGGCTATTCAAGTAATGAAATTTAATAAAAATTTGCAACTGTTTAAATGTGTAAAACAGATGAATTTCATAATCCTGTAACTTGTAGGAAGCTGATGATTCGGATCAAGAAGATGACGAGCTCAATGACACGCTAATAGAAAATACGAAAATTACCCAAAAAATGATCCTGAAAGAATTCAAACACGTTGAAAAGGAGATCACATGGATGGGAGAACCTATCGTAGATGATGGGAGAAGAACATTTTATAAGTCAGTTATGGTTGTTGATGAAGAGATAAAAATAAATGATTATGTACTAATCGAATCAAACGATCCAACCGTACCACTGCAAATAGCCAAAGTCATGTATATGTGGGAAGATAGAAATGGGGCAAAATTATGTCACGCGAATTGGTTCAGAAGAGGCAGTGACACTGTACTCGGTGAAACATCGGACCCATTAGAAGTATTTTTACTCGACGAATGTGATAATGTACCTTTTACTTCAGTAAAATCTAAAGCCACTGTCATTTACAAAGCTAGTCCAGCGAACTGGAATGAACTAGGTAACTACTTTTCGTTTTATTATTACAGAAATCCTGGCACATTAATTACTGAACATTGAAAACCTTTCAGGAAACGCAGATTTATTACCAGAAGACGAAATACAAAATAAAGATGGAAGAACGTTTTTCTATCAAAAACGATATACTCCTGAAACAGCACGTTTCGAAGATCCTCCTCCAGATCCTGTCTGCCAACGAAAAGAAGTTGAACATCGATTTTGTCCAGCTTGTGTGCGTTTTACAACGTTACAATGCTATTACACGCCAAAGGTATAAAAAAGAAAATAAAATTGAAGTCTCCTTTGATCATATATTTGATTTCTAATACAAAATAAATATTTAATACAGGTCTTCGACAAAGAAGAAGAGAAGAGTAGCAAAGAAGTAACATACAGCGTTGTAAAATATAAAGGAGAAGAATTTAGAGTTGGTTCTGCCGTATTTTTATCACCTACTGCTTTGAAATACAAATACACATCTACATATCACATTAGTTCAAAGATGAAAAGAGGAAAGGTAGATGAGGACATGTATCCGGAATACTATAGGAAATCTTCAGACCACGTGAAGGGTTCGAACTACGATACACCTGAACCATTTCATATTGGTTATATTAATGCAATATATGCGAAAACCAATAATAAATTAGTCGCTTCGTCCGATATATGGATTAAGATAAACAAGATGTATCGACCAGAAAACACACACAAAGGGCTCACACTGATGCAACAAGTTGATCTTAATATGGTATATTGGAGTGATGAAGGTAAAATGATTTAACACCTTTAATTCCATGAAACGGAACAGGGAAACTAAGAATTTCCATTTCATTTTTACAGTTTGTGATGTGAAGTTCTCGGAAGTGGCAAGTAAATGTTATTTAGCATATTCAGAGAATCTAGACGAGTCTGCGGAGGAATGGACTGCCGGTGGCCCGAATCGTTTTTACTTTTCTCAAGCATATAACGCGTCAGAAAAGACATTTGTTGATCCGCCGAATCGCGCTATGAGTATTGGAAAGCCAGGGAAGGGGAAAGGAAAATCGAAGTGCAAGAATAAAAACTTAGAAAACAGTGACGCTAAGAAAATGATTGATAAACCAGTAAATTATTGTAGTGTGCCAAAAAAATTGAAAACATTAGACGTGTTTGCTGGTTGTGGCGGTTGGTATAAATATTAAAGTCATGCAGTTTATTTAAGCTTTATTTCTAATCAAAATGTTACGTTGTAGGATTATCCGAGGGATTACGACAAGCTGGTATCGTAGATAACCGTTGGGCGATTGAAAGAGAAGAACCAGCCGCGTGTGCATACAGGCTCAATAATCCTGATACAACTGTATTTTGCGAGGACTGTAATGTGCTTTTACGAAAAGTTATGAATGTAAGTGAAATTTACAGACAGTCAGAAACAATGCGCACAAAATTGTGTCTGAAATGGGCGTATGTTCTTTGTAGGGTGAGCTTTGCGATAACAATGGTCAACGTTTGCCTCAGAAAGGGGAAGTAGAATTATTATGCGGTGGACCGCCATGCCAAGGTTTCAGCGGCATGAACCGTTTCAATTCACGGCAATATTCATTATTTAAGAATTCGTTAGTGGTGTCGTGTTTGTCTTATTGTGATTATTATAGACCGAAATACTTTATTATGGAGAATGTAAGGAACTTCGTTTCCTTTAAAAGAAGTATGGTTCTTAAATTGACATTGAGATGTCTCGTTCGAATGGGTTACCAATGTACATTTGGTATTTTACAAGCTGGAAATTATGGTATTCCGCAAACTAGAAGGAGGTGTGTACAGTTAATTCCTATAAACTACACGTGCGTTCTGAGTAGCATTTAATTATTTATTTTTACGGATTTAGATTAATAATATTGGCTGCTGCGCCTGGGGAAATACTGCCAAAATACCCGGAACCAACCCACGTTTTCAGCAAACGGGCGTGTCAATTAAGCGTTATTGTTGATAATAAAAAGGTAAGTTATCGTCAGGACCGTACGAAAATAATTTTGCTGTATAAACTTAGAAATGTTCTTTTTCTTTTGTTTCATAGTATTCATCTAATTGCGATTGGACAGAATCAGCACCGTATAGGACGATTAGCGTCCGCGACGCAATGTCTGATTTACCTAATATTAGAAACGGTTGGAATAAAGAAGAAATGGCCTATGGGGATGAACCGATCTCTCACTTTCAAAGAAAAGTAAGGACAAATCATTCATAAGTTATAAATGTTCTCTAATGAACGTATTTTTCTCTTTATTTTTTAGGTAAGACCTAAAGAACCGGATGCAATATTGCGAGATCACATTTGCAAAGATATGGCACCTTTAGTCGAGGCACGAATAGCACACATTCCAATCGCAAGTGGATCCGATTGGCGAGATTTACCAAACATTGCAGTACGTTTAAGTGATGGAACGTATTCGAAAAAATTGTAAGTGAATAATTGTAAGATTCATATCTGTTTAACGAAGTGAAATATAATGTTGTGAATAATTATTCCAATTGCAGGGAATATACCCATCACGACAAAAAGGCTGGTAAGAGTTCTACCGGAGCATTTCGTGGTGTATGTAGCTGTTGTGCAGGCAAAGGTTGTGACTCAATGGATAGGCAATATAATACTTTAATCCCATGGTGTTTACCCCATACTGGAAATCGCCATAACCACTGGGCAGGATTGTACGGGAGATTGGAATGGGATGGTTTCTTCGGTACTACAATTACTAATCCTGAACCTATGGGCAAACAAGGTCGCGTTTTACATCCTGAACAAACCAGAGTTGTAAGCGTAAGAGAATGCGCCAGATCACAAGGTTTTCCAGATTCCTTCCGCTTTTATGGAAACATACTTGACAAGCATCGCCAAATTGGAAATGCTGTACCGCCACCATTAGGCGCTGCTCTTGGTTTTGAAATTAGAAAATGTTTAACAACCGAGGACATTATCGGCCAACTTGAGAAGAAGCTAGATGGGTTTAGCGACTGATAGCAATGTTAAAAGTAATGATAAAAGTAAATAATATTTATGACAAAATATTATATTGACTCTTAATGGTAGCACAATATGTTATAAATGTCTTTTTTATCTACATAAATTTACGAATATGTGTCCAGTAAAAATATGTAGATGCTTCCTTATACCATTTACGTGACCAAAAGTATTATGTGATGCATATCTTGTATGCAATGTTAACAGTAGAAAGTGCAACGTTTGTTTCTTCATGCGTAAATTTTAATTGCGGGAATCAGTATTTTTTAATTACTTCTAAAATATTAAATACATATGTATGTCGTGTCGAGAACCGTTTCGTGCAAGAACTCATTTGTAACAATTATTATATATCGTATGTATATATTGTACCTTTTTACGGTTATGTGTTAAAAATAAAATTGTTTATCAACATAGTTTTAGAAGAGAGATAACGGCGAATAAAATTATTGAATAACGCAAGGAATATTTATTGTGAAATAAAATCTTTATAACAAAAGCCCACACATTTAAATGCAGAGTTTTTTCTTCCCACAATTTGGTACAAGTAAGAAACATCCTTCCATTACTATTTTTTTGATAAATTTGTTCGATTTTTAAAGATAAAAACGAAAATTATTTCGTACCCATTCACAGCTGTTCCAAGCTTAATATCAAATGAGGAATTCCAACATAGTAGTACATCCACTACATGTTTAAATAATTTAAATAGTATTTAATATATATTTTATATTAATATGTGGGCAGATACCATTTTAATTGTTTTTATTAGTATTTGTACCGCTTTATTGGGAGAAGGTATGAGATATAAATGTTTCCTACTTTATTCAAATTAAGGTTATACTTCTTCTTTTATCATTACTATTTTTCAAAATAATTTTTATTATTTATAGGTTTAACATGGCTAATGGTTTATCGAACAGAAAAGTATCAAAAATTAAAAGCCGAAGTAGAAAAACAAAGTAAAAAATGTAAGTTTTTCAGTGATAATATTACTTATAAAGTGATTCCTTAAAATCTAAGAGAATTATTTATCTAAGTATTTAAATAAATTATTAAATAAAATTGGTTTCAGTGGAAAAAAGAAAAGAAGCACATGGTGATTCATTGGATAAACAGCAAAAGAAGAAAATAGAAAGAGAGGAGGAAAGATTAAAAAATAATAACAGAGATTTATCTCTCGTAAAAATGAAATCAATGTTTGCAATTGGATTTGCATTTACAGCCCTTCTGAGTATGTTTAATAGTATTTTCGATGGTAGAGTTGTGGCAAGGTTGCCTTTTGTTCCCATCAGTTGGATACAAGGGTTGTCGCATAGAAACCTTCCAGGCGATGATTATACAGAATGTTCGTTCATCTTTCTGTATATTCTTTGCACAATGAGCATAAGACAGGTATATATTATATTATATTATATTATATTATATTCTATCATATCACATATTATACATTTAAAGGGAAACTGGTCATTAAGAATATTATTTACAGAACATTCAGAAAATGCTTGGATTTGCTCCATCCAGAACAGCAAGTAAACAAAGTGGTAGTATCTTTGGTCCTCCCCCTCAACAATTTAAGTAAATCTAGGAAAATATTGAAATTATTACGAACTGTTTTATAATATAATAATTATTATTTAAATTTTGGTGAGGTAACGTTTCGCAAAATATTGTTTTTTAAATTTGATAAACGTATGACATGGAAAGATACATCGTTACTTACAGATTGGAGTTAAAGTATAAAATATAATATATACTTTATGCATATATTGTACATTATTAATATATTTAGTTCGCATGCAATAAATATATATTTAATACTGATATATATATATATATATTCTTTTTTTAATTAATTTTACAGTATATGTAAAATATATGTTCATATATATTCATAGTAAAACACAGATTGTTTAAACACAAAATCGTTAACTCTGCTGAATGTAACATATATATGAAGATGTATTTATAAAACATAAAAAACATTTTTTTTCGAAAGATGAATAGGAAAGTTTAAAAATTATATAAAGAAGTATTAAAATAAGAGGGAGCCTTTCTGTTGGTATAGAAATGCAGCGTGTTTTAGAAAATAGTTATTGATTCATATATTCCATCAAGCAGCTCTTATACAACAATCAATGTTATATACAAACGTAACGATCAATAATATACAAAAAATAACCACTACCTTTAAATCGTAAAAATATTTAATACAATAATAGTATATTAGCCTTCCGTCTAATGGAACGCGTATTCAATAGATTACCGAAACTGCTCTCTGTTACGGATCGCTCCGCCATTAACTAGGTATTTCCTCAAATAATACGTACACATCTTTACTCAAAATTGTTGCCTTTTTTATATTATTACATACCATTTAAGCCTAAAACAGTCTCGTGTTATTAGAGCTAGCGAAATTCTTTTTATACAAAATGATACAATTGTGATATTTACAATAAATCTACATATACGACTAAAGATGAGACATCTTAATTTAATAAAAAGTTATTTAACTTGTTATTTGAACTTTTGGTGTTACAATGTACCGTTGTATGTTACGCATAATTCGTCTTAACAGCATTTTCAATCACACTGATTTATTATTGTTAGTAGAAAGCGAGTAGACACCCATCCGGCAATCTTGAAAGACAAAATGCTCATCGAATTGGAATTCGCGCTTCCCGATCGGTAGCGTCATACATTTTCAAATCACTAATCGTCATGCCAATAAGATTAAAAACCGCAACGATTCGGTCAAATTTAATAATTTCTTATTGCAACCATATTTTCGGCAGTGGCTACTGTCTGTATACCGTGAACGTAAAAAGAGGAAGACCTAATTGAGATTTCATACTATGACACTATGTTCCAATTTGTAGTATACTCTGAATAGAAATAAATAAAATTACAAAAATTTCGTTCAGGTTGTTTCAGAGTTTCAATATTTCCACCAAATTATAATAAAATGCGACGCGTTAGGAACCTCTCGCTGTCCAGCAGCCGATGAACCTATTGTTCTCCTTTTGTTATTATTTGAAATTTCAAGCAGCTTTCGTTAACGAAACTTCGCCGATGTTACTTAGAAAAAAGTAAACCATTCATGCTGTGTTCAATTTTTCTCTATCCGCATAACCCAATCCGAAGAAATTGAGAACTATAGAATATCATTCGAGTCCCATGAAAATATAACGGTATAAATATTACTTCATGCGCTTCATTATTTAGCATTGTTATTAGAAAATTGCACATTATCATTGATTATCGCGTTTGACGTGTACTCCGATCGGACAAGGTCTTTGCATCTCTACGTGATCATTCACTTTGAAAAGTTCGGTCACGTAGAATGAACGTTTATATCACGAAAGTATAGTCGATTCCTCGGTTACTCGAACACCGTTCAAAATGGCGGACAGTTTACACCGGGATGAAGGTACTGACACTTATCACCAACTCGGCAATAGCCGTTCTTTGAAAATTGTCTGCATACTGGCGGTTGTTTACCACTGCCCCTCCATCCGCCGCCGCCGCCCCTCCATCCTCCTCTTCCAGGTGGTCCCCCACCACCTCTGTACCAACCAGGGCCAGGTACACCTCTACCCCTACCGTGCATTGGACCACCACCCCTGGGACCTTGAAAGTTGGGGCCAGGACCGTACATAGGGCCCGGTGGGCCTTGGAAATTGTTCGGATTCATGTTATTGAAACCCATATCTTCCGGTCCCATCATTCCGTAACCTTCTTGCTGTTGATTGTACATAGGCGGAGGTCCCATCATTGGCGGCACCATAGGACCACCTTCCATACCCGGTGGAAACGCGTTGGGCATATTTCCCATTGGATTCATTCCTATTCCGTCAGGTACGACAACTTTTCCGTCCCCTGTTCTCCATCCTCCACCTCCTGCAGGAATTGGTCCACCCATTTCAGGCCCTAACGGACCCATGTGAGCAGGTCCCATTATTTGTTGAGACATTTGAGGCATTGGACCCATCGACGTTGGAGGACCCATAGGCGCCATGACTGGCTGTTGATTATGAGGGAATGATGGATAATGGAAGTTCGTGACTGCTGGCGATGGAGGTTGTAACTGAGGTTTTGGTTCTGGCCACGCCATGGAAGTGAAGTCTTTCTCACTTTCTTTATTTCCGGTGAGATCGTCTAAAGGAATGATTTTAGGATCGCTATATACATGGTGGCGTTCTTCGTCGGGCTCCGCTGCAGATTCTGGTATCCTGTACAAATGGAATATCCTTTGTTAACCATTTTTTATAAGATCACTTTGGAAAAAATATTTTTTACAAAAAAAAAAACAAATATCAAATATTTAATCATAAGAAAACATCCTTACATGCTTCGGTTGAAGTATAAAGCTTGTAAAATGCCCTTCTCCCGTGCGTATTGGATATCTTTCTCTCTGCTGTCTTTTCCGGGTTCTACCAAGGCCGGAGGTAAATCGATTGGAATCAAGGGTTTCCACCTCGTCCTTTCTTCCATTAAATCCTCATTACCTGAAACAGCGCGAACAGTTAAATAACGTTTTTCACGAATATTTAGAAAGCAGCACAAAGACGATCGCTCGGATGACTCACTTAATTTTCTAGCCATTTGGAATGCTTCTCTCTCGTTCTGTTTCTCCATTTGCTTCATGTCCGTGAACGTTTTCGTCACGTTCACCCTCTCCGTTTCGTCCAACTCGAAGTAACGCACCGATTCCAAATCTGTCTTCCATTTTAATACTTTCTTTGGCCCTTTACGCTTCTGATGCAACAAAACACTTCTCAACCCGTCGACATAACGGATCTCCGGATAAGAACCAGAGTTCTCCTTTTTCGAGGAATCGGATATAGAGGAATCTTCCGGCGAGTCGGATGTCTTCTCTTCTATATCGTCGTCGGGAGTGGGTGCTAATAAATAATAAATAATAAGAAATATTAAACACCAATAAATATAAATATATAAGTCCAACTATCGAAAAAATAAAATTAAAAATCTTACTGTTACTTCCGGTGTCGTCGTCAGCTTCCGGTTTGAATATCCTATTCTCTTTTTGGTCGTCTGTCTCTTCTTTCTCTTTTTTGCAATCATCATCCGAGTTCTCTTTCTCTTTCTGTTCTTTGTCCTCGTCTGTTTCCAGAGTGTCTTGGTAAAACTGTAAATAAACATTCCCCTTTAAATTCATCGAAATACCTCGGATAATAATTTCTCGAAATTAACAAATAATTTATAAATCAGACAAATTCGTTCTTCGAGTTGCACCGATTTTCTAATTACGGATATTCTAACTAAGAGTACTCACTTTAAAGTTAGGCTTGACAACTACAGGTGATTTTTCATCGGCACTTGGTGGTGAGGTGGGTGGAGGTGTAACGTCTCGATTATCGTTAGTGGCAGTCTCCTGTTTCTTAGCGTCCGTGGGACCGTCTTTCGTGATGGACGTCCTCCGCTTCCTCTTCCGCGGTTCTTTGCTCTTCGTCGACGCCGTCAAGGCGTCCATGAACATATCGCTCTCTTGCAGTATCATCGCTGGAACAAGAATAAAGAAAAACTTAAAATTAAACTAAAAATCAAGATAAAACAGAAACGATTCGATATCGGTACTTCTTCATTCGTAAACTCAATATCGATCGACAAGCACGGTTCATCCGATCCACCAGAATCGCAATTGCAATTAGTCAAACATTAGCTTATCACTATATTAAAATACATTATATATTAAAACAAATTATTTTCATCTGTAACACGTTCAATCGAATTTAAAACGACAAGAGAAATTCTGCAGTTGCGATTCAAGTTCAAATGTAACGCGCTGAAGTTTAGACTCGATCACGGCAGAACCTTCATCCTCACGAGCGATCCGCTTAAATCTGCAAAAAAAGAGTCCAAACGGTAAGTTTACAAATAATGACAAGCGAACGATCCCGGGGGAATCTGAAAATAAAGAATCCTCTCCTTCCGCCGTGCGCGCCGGGAAGAAATCGGAGGCCTGCAAACAGACAGCAATGAAAAGGGATGAATCGTTACTGGGAGAAATCGGGGAAACCACCGAGTTGCGAATGTAGAAGAACGAAGACACGCGGATTCGCGTGGAGAGCGAATTTTCCGAAATAAAGGAAAGTAAAGAGTTGCGGGCGCGGTTCGCAGTGTCTGCGTTCAATGTCGAAGTTAAATTCGGCTATTGCGTAATTATGCGGCCGAATGTAAAATGCAGTTCTATTACACGATTCCCGTCGCAAGTGGACGAACCCCATTGATCGGTCGGATCAATAAATCGTTCGAAATTTCGAACATCGCCGGGTGCGAGAGGGAAAATGTAAATAACGCACGCGTGCTTGTAAAAGGGTTTCGCGTTCTTTAAAGTTTTTCGGCGCGCGGGCTCATGAGAATGGTAAACATCAGCTCGGATAACGTGAATTCATATTTTCCTCCCTTGAATCTCTGCTCGTCGTTAAGAAAATACCACAATTCCCCCGATCGGACGCGAAAATTCCGATAGAGTCTAAGGGGAAGCGAAGAGTGTACCTCTAATCGTGCCAAAACGTTTTGAAATGTACTTTCATTCGATTCTAATGACCGTTTCTTTATCAATGCGGCGATGCATTGTTCGTTATGTAAATTGCGGACTACCGACGGGTGCGTTTCAACGGCGGGAACAAAGTTTTCAATTAATTATTTTGATATCTTCGATCGTCTCCCGTGAACGTTTCGCTCTCCTCGTGTATTCGTTGGTGTATTGCACTTTCTATACGAATCGGACGTCTCTAATATTTCATTGGAATGAACGTGAGAGGGTTGAAAGTCGTTTCGATTGATGAGCTTCTTTGTCTCGGCGCTTATTGGCAGTGCGGCTTATATGCGACAATAACAAAAACGTTTTTACACAGGAAGTGCAAGAGCGATTTATCACATAGATAATGTGTTACAAGATAATCGTGTATAAAAATGCCTTTTATGAACGTATTCGATAAAGTGATAGTAATAAACTGGGGAATAATATACGGGTTTCATTGTACGGCTCCAATTTTATTTCCATCAAGCTCTCTAGAGTCATATTTAATATTTACTTTGCTCTAAAACGCGATGAAAAATCATTAAGTGTACTCTTAACGCATATCTTCGTGTAACAGTAAGTAGCATACTTGGCTTTTCCAATATCACCTCTCGCGCGTACTCTCGTTTTCAAAGAGCCCTCTTTGCAATTCAACGATATCGTCTAATATCAGCAGAAATGGCAACAAAAGATTCTACGCAATTCAAATCGTCCGTAAAAACAGACGCGTTTCCTTCCTCCTTGCTATATTCCGTGACAATAATCAAGATCATCAATTATTTCGAACATCGAACACCGCAAGAAGTCTAGCCATTCTGTTCAAGTGAGATCGGCTCGATAACTGAATCGACCAACGCCAAAACGTGCACATCAGAAAGAAATTTTACAAGATCGCTAATATTTAATTAAAAAAACCAAAGACAGAGCTACATATTTCAAGTACATCGAACTTAGCGAATTATGAATTCATTCTCTCGCATCTCTCTCTCTTTCTTTCCTTTAAAGTATAATCAACGAAACATAAAAATTAATGGAAATCAGAATAGTTTTTCCTCTTAAGCGTTAGCTATATCGTATCCGTATGAAAACGCATTAATGATTATCTGCGTTCTAAATAAAAACCGTTGACAAAAGAAAATTATTTTGTAAATATATATATATACATATATGTATATATGTATATATATATATATAGTAAATTTAACAATAAAGACAAGGAAAGTTTATTTCACGTTCGAATCCGTTTTCGAATTCAAACGGGAAAAGATAGGGACCGCACGACGATAGAATGCGTGTGTCGCGTTACGGCACGGATCCCTATACGTTGAATGGTTAATACATATCGCGCGGAGCGGTAATGCAACTGCTACAAGAAACGGAGACTAGGTTCCGTACGCGATTGCCGGCGTGAACACCGTCGCAAAAACATTGGCCCCGATACTCCGAGCGGAGAAGTGCGTCTCGTTGCGCAACTCCGTCCCGTAATTCCCGTCCATCCTTCCTCCTCGCGTCTAATTCAAACCGGCGATTCTCGAATCCAGTCTTTCTCGGCCGACAGAGACAACAAACGAACGGTCCAAAACCCTTGAATTTAAAAAACACATTTACACGAGATCACAGGAATCCTCTGTTCTTCAATTTCAAAGCTAAAACAAAGAATCAGCCGCGTACCTTTGTCCGTCAACTGCGCCGCACGAGTACTCGAAACGGAACGATACTATGAATCATAGGCGCGCGCGCCGCGAATTGAGCCAGAATCATTCTTTAACCGAGAATGATTTCCTTTCTAAGGCGAATACTTCTTTCTTTTCTTTTTCTTTTCGTTTCGAATGAACTCTACGAATCGTACCGATTCCTCTTTATCGTTTCTTTCTCGCTTTCAAGCGAGACTCTCTTTCTCGGTGGCCGAATACGAAAGAAGCTCGAATCGTTCAAAACGCGGCTATCCCCGGTTTTACGGGTGTGTATCATTTTCGATTCTATGAGAGGCGACGGTATTCAAGTTCGTCAATTGTGCCAAGGACGAGCGCACGATTATATCGTTTTCGTTCCCCTTTTGTCTTCATCTATGTCTCTCGCCCGTTCCAAATAAATGTCTCTCTTTTTCACCCCCGATCGTGAAAATCTGCGACCACTGGCAAGGAAGGTAACTTCTTCGCCGTGTCGACGTCGTCACCGGAAATAGACGATTACGTGCGTGTCGTGTAAGAAGAGGCCCGTTGATCCTAAGGGGCGGCTTGCTCGAGGACGTCGAGTCGATACGCAGCGTCGCAATTTCATGCATTTTTCAGAAGTGCTTTTCATCCACGAGATTCCATACTTGTCTTTTCTTATTATTTTTTTTTCTTTTTTTTTCATAAATAA